CGGCGGCGAAAAGCTCGAAGGCCTAGAACAACCCCAAGTTGGGTTCTGCGCTTTCGTCCGGCCTTTGTCAAGTTGTGCTTCTCGGAGCAGACAAGTTGCAACCTCGGACGGGCAGAGTTGCAAATGCTTCTCACAAGTAGAACCGTAGAATTGCTTAAGCACCGCCCAAAGCCTTGGCATTCCTCTGCTAAGGGCCTTCAAAACCACTTCCGAGAAGTTACAACCCCTACTCATCACGACGGTCTCGAAGGCCCGGGCCAAAATCGTGCCTTGTTCGGCTCTGCCTCCAAAAGCCGTTGCCAAGATAACTTTTGCCTCGAAACAAAACCTGCCCTAAACAAGCGCGCGCAATAGCTCCAAAGTACTATAGGGACATAGGACCCAGATGATTAAGATTGGAATCAGGCTATGAACTTATAAGCGTTATCAGCAAAAGGTGACAATGCTGGTAATTATTCAGGCTTCTACGCTGCATAAGCCCTGCTAGTCCTTTGTAAGCTGGTGTTGGTTTCGTTTTCCATCTTCCATTTGGTAATTTGCAAGGTCCTCAGGAAGAGGCTCAACCGTTCAGGGTTGGGGTGGTTGCCAGAAAACGGATGAATGAATCCGTTAAACCAATCCCTATTGACCGCCTTCTAAGAACCCCTACGCTCCATTGTTTCGCTCCCTTTCAGAAATAGAAAATGAGCCCTGACGCCGCAAAGGGTCCTTCCTTGTATAGTGAGGGCTGTGTAGGTAGGACTCTGCAGATGGCCAGGGCTTGGGGTGGTTGTTGTGTACATGGTTTAAGGAGTTCGGGTTTTGGGTTTCGGGTTCTGAGACTAATGGTGCAGGAGTATAATTAGGGTTTCAACGTCAGTGGACGCAGCCGAGCATTTTGAACTCCCAAGTGCCACAGCTACAATCTTCTTGTGGTCCAGAGCAGCACCACCAAATTCCGATCCTATGCCCCAAGACCTGAAGCCTTAAACCACAAACCCTATATAACCCCTAAACAACCCGAGACCCTAAACTCTAAACGGCGGGATGTATTTGGCAATCTGTCTGAACATCACGTTTAGTTGAACCGCAATAGCAATATGGCAAAAGCAACACTAACAGTCTCAGTCATACTACCTAAAGGAACCCTATGAATTGCGCTGGCCTTCTTGACGCCACTGACTGGATACTAAACATCCAGCATGACTCTAGGTATCTTATATGGATGGATTTCTACGACATTAAGGTCATGCAGTATGTTCAGGGTGAACTCCAGAGCCCCTGATGCTTGCTGCAAGGGTCGTTCTTCACCAAAAGGGCTCCGGCTTTCATTGGTTCCCGGATTGTGCTGCCGGGGTCGTAATTGTACCCCAGGGGTTGGAGGACCCTTTTGGGAACCATGGGGGAATCTGGGGCCCATCGGGCCATATTGAGGCGACGTACATGCGGAAGCCCGCTTTGATCCACACAATTGTCCTTACCCTAAACCCTAAACCCTAAATAGTACTTTCAATTTTCTTTTCCAGTATCCCATCTTACTCCAATACAACCCGGGAAGTCCTGAGATGTACAAACTTTACACTTTCAAGTCCCAAGCCCTTCTGTGGCTCCATTTTGGTGGATTATCTAGGGGTTATTTAGGGGTTATAGGGTTTATCATATTGGGGTTATATAGGATAATGGAAAAGAAAATGGAAACTACTAGAATGAGATTTAGGCTTCAGTGAACCTCCTAAGAAAAAGTATCTTCAAGCCTTGTCTGGGAGTCATGCTGCACATCCTTGCGAGAAGGACAGGACCTGGCAGTTGAGAACCATTAAAGCCTAAACCCTTAACCGTGCATAGGGTTTACGTAGGGTTTAGGGCTTAGGGTTTAAAGTTTAGGGTTTAGGATTTAAGGTTTAGAGCTTAGGGTTTGAGGCTCTCTAGATTTGAAGAAAATTGGCGAAGGAGCCCCCCAAGAACAGATGCAGTCACCAGACAGGTTCATGGAATTGCAACATGGAAGCGGAACTAGCAATCAATCACCATGGATCTCCGTACTGCACCCCATGTCCATGCCCTCCCCCCTAGCTCCCCTTATCATGAGGGTTATATGAGACGAATGTAGAAATTGCATTTCCCAGCGGAAGCCCTGGATCGCTGCTTTACAGCACGCTCCGCAAAACCTTTTCCGGTTTAGGGTTTGGTTCAGGGCGTCACCCTCCAACCCTGAAATCTGCAAGTCCTCAAACTCTACTGGCCTGCCCTAAACACTGCACCCTCAAACCTCACACCCACCGGCCTGCCCTAAACGCTGCATCCTGCAATCCTACAGGCCTGCCACAAACACTCAATACCCTAAACCCTGAAACCTAAAACATTCAACCCATGAACTCTAAAGTTGAAACCGTGGGCCCCTAGTATGGGCCCTTAACCCTGGGATCCTTATATACCTACTATATACCCTACATGTACCCTGAAGGGTCTTAAAAGGCCTAAGGGCCCATATTAGGGGCCCATACTTCTAACCTTAGATGAACCCTCAAAGCCTCCAAGGTCTTAAGGCTTTAAGTTTCTGAACTCTTGATTGCTTCCTGGAAGCAACCAAAGCCCCGGGGTTCAGGGTTTTAGGGTTGTATGACCACTGTTGAAAGTTCATACTGGGGATTATAGCGGTGGATTTAAGCTTGTGTACAGTCTTTAAGTCGAAGCCGCATGGAAAAGAACGCGGAAAATCCAACGGAAACTGGGAGTCTAGAGGGGCATGGTTGGCCGTGCATAACCCCCGTCAATGTATGGATTCTGTTGTTTTGTCTGTTTCTCCATACTCTATCCCTAACCCTAAACCCTCGGAGTGTAGCTGCAATCTTTCTCTATTCTAAACCCTAAACCCTAAGCTGAGCAGAGGCAGACTTGTGACTACATGTTTTTCCCGATTGTGGATTCTTTGTGGACTTGCTGACTTTCACATCTGGTTGTAGCGTGGCCCTTGCTTTCACATCTTGGGCTTTAATGCGCAACGCATACGAAGGCTTGCCAAAAATGGGCTGTGGGATCATGATCTTTCCATATCTATATATATACATATGTGCAGCTGCCTATATGTGAGAATGGCAAACCCCTTTTTCAAATACCTACATTACAAGATGAGCCACAGCCCTAGTTGAGATAACTGAGACTCAGGTGGCACGGAGGGTCTAGGGTGCTTCTACCCCCAACCCGCAACTCTAAGTCCTAAACCCTAAACCCTAAACCCTAAACTCTAAGTCCTAAACTCTACACCGTGCAAAGGGCTGGACCTGCATTACTGAGCCCAGGGCACCATCAAACTGCTGTCCATCCTGCAGCTCGTGACGCAGTTTAGGGTTGTAGGGTTTTAGGGTTTAAGGAATTTGGGTGTAGGGTTCAGGGTTTAAGGCTTTAAGGTTTAGAGATAAGGTTAGAGTTGTAGGATTCAAGGTTGAGGGTTTGAGGTTTTGCGGTTGTACCTGGAGGTCTGTGGGAGTTAGTAACTAGGTTTACTTTTACTTCATGACCTTTATAAGTCCCATTAGGCGAATTCTAGTTAGGGCGGAAAGCTCCCTAAATCCTAAACCCGAAGCCGTAATACCTAAACCCTACACCGCATAAGCTCAGGTCTAGGTAGTCAGTAAGTCCTTTGAACCTTGATTGAAGTAGAACCAATAGGTCTGCATACAATGGCTGGGAATAAGCTAAGTGGCCAGGAAATATGGTTATATATGCCCCCCCTTAAGTAGATGGACTTTGGGGTATATGGGGATCTTATTGTTATATACCCAAAGCCACATTTTATCTACTTAAGGGGGACTATAGCTAAGTGGCTGGGAAATATAGTTATAACTCCTTTATGACTCCCAACACAACCCAAATCCCTTCACCTGAGTCCCAGCCCATCTTCTACGGGTCCAAAATTTGGACCCAAATGAAGTCCGGAGTAGATACTTGGCGCCCGAAGTTAACAATACTTGGGGCATGATTTGTTGGTGGCAAGGTTCATGAGCTTTTAAATCTCATCACGATTACAAATATTGGTTAGTACAAGCAATGCGGGTAACACTGATGATGGTTGTAATCGGCGGCCGCCTGTTTCTCTTGGTGATCACCAGTATGCAACCTGAACAACCCTCAGCCCCTATAAACCCTAAGCCCTGTAAACCTTAAACCTTAGTGACAGGATACATTTGGCTTTTGTTTCCGTGCATGAATGAAGGACGTCGACCTGATTCTCGTGTAGCCCACTCAAGCCAAACGAAACCCCCGAACTTAGGATTCAGGGTGTAGGTTTGCGGGCTTAAGATTTTGGAGTATAGCGTTTAAGGTTGTCGGGCTTAAGAGTTAAGGGTTTAGGGTAGTTTAGGGCTTATGAGATTTAGGGGTTCAGGATTTAGCGCTTAGAATTCTTGAACCCACTCTCAGCCCCGCAACAAGGGTCTCCTAGCCCATCAGGTACCAACATCTCACGAGGCATTCGCTCAATCTGGATTGCTGTTAAGGAACTCAAGATACCATACTGGCGAAACAATATTAATTAGTATATACCCATCATGGTAGCTTCAGGACCGAACATCTTAGGCAACCATTGAAAAAAGTTAGTGCTGCCCCGATAGAATTAACACTCATTTCGAATGCCTTAAGCGTGCTTTTTCAACCCTAGATTGCCGTTTCCAGAAATTGGAGTCTCCTCACTTGCCCAAGACTTATTACACTCGCCAGGAGCCCCAAAAATCGGAGCATGATGTTTTGAAAAGTCTAAGCCCCAAAACTGAAATGTTCAACCCCAAGCTTCAAATAGCTCTCAAAATAACAACCCGGCAGACCTTCAGCGCTGCGCGTGCAGCCTCCCTTGCGGATGCGATGCCTGTCACCACGAATAGTCCCCCTGAAGTAGATAGAATATGGGGTATATGGGGATCTTATATTCATATTACCCATATTCTATATACCTTAATTGGGAATATGTCTGCTGTTGGGTTGATTGCGGCCAAAATGCCTCTGGCCTACTTCGAGAGCCCTCGGGCTAAGTTAAGATCCCCTTTCTTACTGCAGGTTCCCCAGCTTCTTGGGGACCCCAGGGTGGCGCACAAAGTGTAAGGGGTGTACTTAGAGTGTAGGGTTTAGGGCGTTTAAGGGCTCGCGGGTTCAGAGGTGGGGGTTTAGTTCCGTGTCCCGGCCACAGGAATAACACATGATTATGGCATATGCTAGTAAGCCAGGCAGAAGCCGCAAAAAAGCAACTTTCCCAGTGTTCATCACCCTAAACCCTTAAACCCTAAACCCCAGCTCTCCCTGGAAGGGCCCAGTGTATGTTGTGAGACTTGGCTACTCTGTTTCATGCTGCAGGAACGCTGTTTAGGGGTTTTATGGTTTAGGGGCTGTATTCTCGCCACTGAGTTTGGCGTGTCCTCATCGGCATGCCGTTTTGGTTGGACCAATGACTCATTGGCGAGCTTCTATAATGAGGAGTGTCGTATACGAAGGGCACCCCAGTTTTATGCATGTATACGTATATACACACTGCACATCGGTAAATAAGGAATAAACACTTCGATATATGTATATATATGTATATATACATATGCATATATTGGCATACCCGCACATATTTGGAGGCTTGCGAGCAGCTTGCTGAGTGAGAGTCTCATCCTGGCTTCAAGCCCTGGGAACCTTACTGGTGCTTGAAGAAGTGGGGCAGTGGATCCCTACAGTGATCCAATTCGATGGACTTTTAACAACAAACAAATCGAATCCCCCAATCCTCCTTACACGTCCTGGGGGACCAATATCCTATAGTAGCTTTTATTCTATTCGGCTAACGCAGCCAGACCCCAACCCCAAAACCCATAGCCCTGAAAAACCCTAACCCCAAACCCTACAAAGCATTTTCTGCGCCTTCTTCGAAGCCAACACAAGCGTAAGACCTCAGGGCTCAAGCATGGAATGTGCAGCCTGCAAGGTTCAGGATTTGGGGATATGAGCTAGTCTAAACTCCTAGTATCCCCCTTAATAACCCCTATAGTAGCCCCCTATATAGTTCCATATACAACCCCCTTTAAGGAGTTTAGACTATAGCTCATATGGGTTGAGGGATTGAGTTGGGGGTACAGGGATGAGAGCTTAGGAGTTAACGTTTAGAGTTCAGGGATCAGACTTTACGGGGTTCGAGGTTCAGCATCTCCGCTCCACGCTTCGAGGACCTGCAGCCAAACACATAAACAAGCAACCTCCTTGATTGTTGCCCCCCAAACGCGTGCAATGACTACAAATACTCAGAAGCCTGACATACCCCATCTCTGGATCCCAAATCCCCTCACACTCATATCAAACCCCCCGCCTGCTCCTGAGATTAACTATACCCCCCAAAATGTAAGGACTCTTTTCGGAGAATATCCTTGTTTCTGGGGAGGGTTGTACATGTCAGTATGAAGGGACTATTTGGATAGCGTTGAAGATTATACCTGCCTGCGCCCGATTTGTTCCTGGCATGACAGAAAAGGAACAACCCTAAACCCTAGACCCCAAGCCCATACACCCATTCAGCAGTGATGCAGACAGATCTAGAGGCTCCGAGTGCTACTCCAAAAGCCTTGGATTCTGCAAGCAAACACTGGGTTTAGGGTTTAGGGAGTTCTGCAAACTAACACATAACTCCATTTGAACCGTATGTCCACGACATGTACAACTGCAGAGGCAAAGTTTAACTACCAGGGAATCAATGAATGGACTACTACAGCATTCCCAATATACTCTCTTCTAGTCGCCCGTCTACCCCATTTCTCGTCTCAGCACCATCTTGAGAGAACCTGGATTTAAGTAATATATCCATGATAACCCTAACGCAAAGCCATTGCAACCCTTAATCTGCAGGTTCTGAACCCTTTACTTGGAGGGTCAGGGGGACTTAGTAGGTAGGTTAATAAGGGGGATAACTGGGGTTACCATATGGGTTATAGGGCACAAATATCCCACAAGGCTTGGAGTCCACGACAGAACGTAGCACCAAAGCCAGCAACAGGCCAATGAGATCTGGACCCTTGCAGCAACCCAAATTAGGGGCTCATTATGTTTCCCTTTAAGTAGATAGAACATGGTTTGGGTATATTCTAATAATAATATCCCCATATACTCCATATTCTACTCAGTATATTCATACGATTACAAAGCGGGTCGGTTGCCAAAATCTTCTTGTTGGTCTGGGGCCCCTGCTGCGCGGGCCGAACTAAGGCCTGCGATCAGCTTAGCGTTTACAAGTACCCAGCGGTCGCTCCGAAGGGGATTTTAAAAAATATGTGGGGGGTAGTTTTTAGGATGATAACACTTGCTATTTCACTTTCAGTGTACCACTACTATGATTACAGAAGTTGTCATCATTGCGTGCTCATTCCCTAGAAGATTGGGTTCTTGTCCTTGGGGCCCTATATAAAAATATACTATCTATAACCCAAGAACCTACTATATGGGTACCTGGGCTTCTAGGGATTTCTCTCATTGCCAGTACTGTTAAAGGTATCGTTATCATCTCAGGTCCTGGGCTTAACACTGGGAATGCGTATAAAAAGCGTGTTTAGAAGTTTTTTTTGTAATCTTTGGGGTTTAGGGTTTAGGGTTTTAGGGTTTTAGGGTTTAGGGTTTTAGGATTTTAGGGTTTAGGGAAGGGATACCTTTGTCGCCGTTTTCTCAAATCTACTACCCCTCTTCAAGTTGATCCCCATGCCGTCTAGGAAGTCCCCTGAAGAAGGGTTGAACGCTTAGGGTTTAAGCGGTATACATTAGGAGGACCCCCCCACCCTGTAATAGTCGTATAATAGGTATATAAGAGGACCCTAATATGATCCCTATTATCCCCTATAGTCACTATTACGGGGTGGGGGCTCCACCTAATTCAGGGTTTAGGGTTTAGAGTTTAGGGTTTAGGTTGGATACTGCCCCCCCCCCCCAGTAACAGTCTATATTAGGCGTCCTATGAAGGGCTATATAGAGCCACATTATAACTATTATCCAACTGTTTCTGAGGGGGGGCAGTACTGAAGGTATACAACTCTTCTGCAATCCGTGTAACTTACTCTACAGTACTTAAGAAACTCCTTGGGTGCATCTTGATTTAACCAAAAGCGTTGAATGCTTTAATTTTACGGTTGAACCCAAAACCCTAAGAGCTTCAACGCCATAAGCCCCTAAACCCGAAATCCCTACAACCCGACTCTAAGAATCTTTGCACCACATCCCCTACTCGTAACCTGCACAAGCCCGAGACATTAAACCCTTAACCCTGGAACATAAAAACGCCTAAACCCTGGCTCTCTGAACGCTCAACATCCACTCCAAACTTCCTTGGGGGCCATGTAAGAAGTTTTGTACTATTTTGGAGTCTGTATTGGGGTTTCCTATTTTGGGAGACTACCATATATCCCCATATATCCCCTCTACACAACCCTTGACAATATCCCCTGGATGTTTCAACCAGTTCCTGAGCTCTCAAGACCAAGTGCCTCGCCCGGCTGCTTTTTGGCATTTTCCCCAGAGACCCACCAGCCCCTGGGACCCACACCTGGCTTGAGGACTAATCCCCTTCCCCTAATATTGGCGGGTTAAGGGTTTAGTTCAGCGTTCGGGGCTTAGGGTTTATTATTAGGGGAGGTATAGGGGTGCGTAAGGCTTGGGGTTTTGGGGCAGAGTGGAGGACCAAACGAATAAGAGCATGAAACATGAGATGAAAACTGGGACCGTATCCCAAACCCTAAGCCCTAAACCCGTATGTCGGGATTTGATTTGAACGAGGACTAACGTATGCGTTTAGGGTCTAGGGATTCTCTGTATTCAGGTTGTGTTGGGACTTCTGAGGCCACACTTAGGGTTCGAAGGGCAAGAAGGCGTGGGCTATAGCAATAACTTACTTATGTATATATTTATATAACTCAGGCATATGCCCCCGAAGTCCCAGAACATGGCTACAGTTGGGTAGTCTTTGCTGGCCTAGAGGCGCAGGGTTCTGAAGATGGAAAGTTGCAGAGTACGACTGTCAAGGACGACAAGCTTTCGCCTAAGCCTAGGGGCCACACCCTAAGGCTCCAAATAGCCCAATGTAGGTCGTGCTTATAATCTTTGGGGCCCAATGTAGGTATTATCTATAGATATGGGGCTCTAGAGAAAGTAGGAGTGGTTTACAGACTTAAATCCCCGAAGATCGTCTTCGGAGGCCTGGAACTGCTCGTATATGGGATGAGTTAAGTTCCTAAAGAACATGAACGGTGACCCAGTTTTACAACCCACAAGGCTTGCGACTTGCAAGCTGCAGATAGGGTTTAGGGTTTAGGGTTTCATCACAAATGCTGCATTGCTTTTGCCCACAGGTGCTTCTTCTGCATGACTGCGGCTACTACTTGTCATTCCACTTCTGCTTCGTCCTCTTCTGCTAATGGTTCCATGTACGACCGCTCCCACTCCTACTGCTAGTAAGGACCCTATGGCGACCAATGTAAGCGCCACACAAAAATACAAGTATAGTCCCCCTTAAGGAGATAGAATATGGCTTTGGGCATATTATAGTAAGATCCCCATATACACCATATTCTATCTACTTAAGGGTCACTGTAACCCTAGTGGTTCCAAGACTCGCTGCACTCGGAGGCCTCCTGCGTCTGCAGCCTCGAGTCAGACAGGATTGTTCGGTTTTAGGGTTTAGGGGTGTAAGGTTTAGAGGTGTAAGGTCTAGAGGTCGAGTGTGAACATGATTTTAGGTCTCAGGGTTTATCGGCTAAATGTTGAGGGCAGGGGTGGCCGGAAGCAGGGTCCATGAGGCAAAAGCCTATGCTCTCCGGGAGAGGAATGCCACTACACGAATTTAGAGGAGTCACGCGTAGAAGGTGGTTCAGGGCATGGTTTGAGACGCTCCCCATCCAGAAGGACTGTTCAGCGGGATGAGGTTGATAACTTGAAAGCCATTCACGCACAGTCATTTCACAGGCATCAGGTAGCACGGCTTAGGGTGATAACATTGTGGAAGCACTTGAACTCACTTAGCCAATGTGACATGCCGCGTGCACGTGCAACATGTGACTGTCGCTCATGCAGAGACCTGATCGCAAAAGACAGAAGCTGTGATCTTCTTCATACACAGATCACCAGTCTTCAAGTTGCAAGCCAGGCTCGCGCACCAAAAGTTCACACGTCTATGGAAAATCCAATGGCGGTAGCTGATAGTTTTGCAAAGTGAGGAAGGGTTGGAACCTCGAAGCTCTTGAGCTACAACACCGAGACCGCAAATACTGCCTCGCGCCGTCTCAAAGCCAAGGACGGCACACCATCCGTCTCAGGGGTGCTATCCTGCATTCGATGCAGCATTATTCAATGCTGAATAATTACTTACTTATATTGTGGCCCCAGATTCTTTGTAGAGTTATGGTACAGGTTACCTCAATGAGTGCTCGAAACAAAACTGGAGCAAGCGTTTATGCCTCTATACAGTACATTCTCAGGAACCCAAAGAGTACATGTAGGTACATAGTCTATACTTGGGGCCCCCAAGCGGGCTACCATGTAACAACTCTGGGCCCAAGTATATGGGCGGTTGTCAAAATTGTGGTCCCTTTTTGGGTACCCTAAATATGAGGTGCCGTATTATGATAGGGATCCAAAAAGGGACCATAATTTTGACCACCACCCATATACTATACAGCTACATGAGCCCTTTGGGGAACTGGCAGACCCTTGGCTTTCTGGCTGATTGGCCTCGTAGGCTTCAGACACCTCATGATTCCTATGGTGGATATCTAAATCCTGCATGACTCGAAGTACCTTACACCTTGGGGTTTACAGCGGTATAGTATGTTGATGTCATGCAAGTTTGATTTTTGGGTATCAATGCCTGAACTGTTAGCTGCCTTATACTGGCATTGCGTGCCCCGTCTCTGATTTTGAGCGTGAGGTGACCAATAGCCATCGCACTTGTCACTGCTAATCACATCGATTTGGGCATTCTCTTGCTCTCTTACATGTGGCACTTCGTCTCTTTGGCGACCTGCACCTGTAGAAAATACGCTCTGCCAAACCAGCATGGAACCCCTTTCAGCAGTCCTAGATTATGTCACTGCTCCGTTCCGAAGGTTGCCAAAACCATGGTCCCTTTTGGGGTCCTTGTTGTGATGTGGCCCGAAAAGGGACCATGATTTGGACAATCTCCCACATCTCTAAGCCTTCGACAGAGCCCACGTGAAGCACCCGATCACAATCAACCATACTTGGAGGTTCATGGGATTCAGGAACCACGTATGTCTGGGCTTAAAACCCTAATTGTAGTCCCCCCCAACCAGGACTTGTATAGGTTACCCCAATTATGAGAAGGGTTACAACCCCAGTTATACATAAGCAGTTTCTAATTCCCCTGAACCTCCGAGTATGCATCGCAATCACCGACCCCTGTTTTTTAAAATTGAGTTTGGGCTATTCCCGCTTACAGTAACAGTTATCACAGGGGGTAATAGGAATTATAATAGCCCCTTAATAAGACCCCCTTTAAGGACAGTTCCTGGGTGGCAGAATGACCCCAAATTGCGTCATGAACAACCAAAGTGTTTCCTCAGAGAATGCTGACACTGTATTGCAAGCATATATCCGCTACTAAGCCGGGCGGGAGGCATGGGAAACCCTAAACCGTTGCTGGTCGTAAATGGACCTGCTTAAAGCCTTTCAAAACTCTAAGAAAATGCCTTCTTGCAAACATCAAACCCTAAACCGTAGTCAATTGAAATTGCTCCAGAAGGCATGCTGCAATAACAACGACATCGCCAGTCCGAAAAAGCACCCGCGGCAGAATGTGGAGCATCCAGGAAAACGAACCTGGGAAACGTGAGGCTAAGGAAGGTGAGGCCATGAAGGCTCTAAGTGGGTAAGGATTTAGTAGGGTTTCATGAGCAGAGGCTTTCAGAGTTCCGGCCCAAGGACAAGGCCCTAAACCCTAAACACTATCTTGACCGCTTCAAGGCATTGGCTCTCTCTGGTTCAGGCAGCTACCGGAAAATCAATCAAACGCGCTCCAAACCCAAAGTTAGATTTTCGTCTTATATCTGTAAACAAGACGAAGATTGGTTTTCGTGCTTCTGGCTAGGGTGGCGGGGGTAGCTTCTTCAAATGAAAGCTCCATGATCACAAGTCAGCCGACGTCATCCAACGCTAGGATGCTCTACCACAAGCCCCAAATCAGCGCCCCCTCGGCACTCAAGTCAGTTTC